AAATTAGAAGTGAAGCAAATTCTGCTGCTGTACTTATTTTAAATCTCTCCGGGTTACAGATCCTGCTAAATGCTTAAATTGTAAAATGCAAATGTAATTGATCTCTTTGGACTTCACGGTTCACATCAGGATCATTATCGTCTCCCTTTGATCTTAATGATCCTTTTATATCAAAAACACCACAGGTGTTAGATGAAAAGCTTGAAGTGTCCAGACGTGAAGTCGGAGAGTTTCTTTCTGCGATGCTCTATCGATCCCTGATGGAGAAACTCTTCACTTCTTCCGCTCCACGGGAGAGCCAGACTGCAGAGTCAGCTTACAGAGCAGAAGCCCTTGAAGCTGGTGGGGATTTGGCCTCATCCTGCTCAAGGACACTACAGCAGAGAGGGAAATTGCTGTTATATTGGTCACTATGTCTTCTTGCTGAGATGATGTTTTCTGTTATCTAGCATACCTGTTTATTTTTTGTTTTAAATGTATTCAGTCCCCGTTTTTTTTTAATCACTGGCAATGACCATATCTACAAAAGCTTTTGAAACTGCAGCAGCATGCCTTTGGTGTATAATTGTGAAATGAAAGTGTTTAATACAAATGCTCTCACTGTATGCTTTAAGTCCTTGAATTTTCTAGGCTTTAATCGATATCCTCTGAGTGCAAAGCTCAAATCAGGACAATCATCCGCGTGCCTTTCATGTTTATGAGCCTTGTTATTTGCCATGGCAGCTGGGGCCACAGGGACAGCAGGGTGATCCCGCTGGATGCTTTTCCAACCAATTATCCAAGACAGACCCTAACCAAAAAAAAGAGTGTGTGTCCACAAATATATGTGTGTTTCAGTGTGTGCTTTTCCAATTTACCAAGACAATTCCAAGACCATCACATTGAGCAATATAATGACCAATGGCAGTCTGAGCCGCAATTAGGCGCCAGTATCTCTGTCCCTTCACAACCAATCACAGCAGAGATGATGAAAAACGAAAGGGAGAGCTAGAGCCATATGACAGCCGACACATATGCTCATACACAGACCTACAGAATATTATAACACTGGCATATACACTCACAATATACAAATTCATATCATATATTGTTTGTTTCAATGACTACAAAGGACACAAAGGGCTGAAATGCCACTGACTGTCTTCTGTGCTTTGTTTTCTACACTTTTTCGACACTGCAAAGGAAAGATTGTGAACAGCACAGCAAAAAAAGAAACTTATTTAACGGCCCAGTTCTGAAAGGGTAGATCCATGTGGTTCCCAACTGGAATTACATATTATCATCAAAGTGAAATGGGATTTATGCTCCATGAAGCAGGAGTTCCCCTGAGGATAGCACAGATGCACGGTCACAAAGAAAAGGAAGACTTATCAGAGCATCTGTCTAATGTATTTCTAATTAAATGAATGTATATGTAACAACCCCTGCATGTCCAAGATTACACTTGAATAAAATCAATGATTTCAAATATTGCTACATGCCTTTATGGCTATGATGGATAGAAAATAGATTATTTACATTCTCCACTATGACATATAGATGCTTTGAGATATTATCTAAAGTAACAGCCAGTTAATGGCTCCAAATTATTTGATAATAAATCTAATTCAGTTGACAACTTAATACAATTTTAAGGTTTATGTCATGAGGAAAGTAAAATACACTGAGATGAGTTCATGCACCTAATTATAAAGTTGCTTTTACTGGTTTTTGACACATTTCAGATGGTGTATTGATCACTCAATGTATTTTTTCTCTGGTTCTGAGACGAGCTACTGGATTTCTTTATATATATATTTGAATATGGTTGGCTAAATGTTGGTGCTACACTTGCAATATAAGAATCTGAAATGTAATTGGTTTAACCGTTTGTTTGTTTTGTTTTTTTATGAGCTAGGAATATTGCATACTTCCATCTGCAGGAAAGAGATTAGCTCAATAACTGTCAATATTCCATACAGCCAAATACTCAGATTAACTGATGCTTATGTGAGACAAAGTCTGTTGTGTCATGCAGAAATGCTTCAAAGTGAGGCGTTATGAGGTCAAGATTCAAGATTGAGCTCCCAATAGAATAGAATAATTAGAGTGGAACAACTTATTCAGCAAGGGAAAATACAGGAACTAACACAGAGACCTTATTTTGTCACATGTTATTAAAGAGGCTGCAAATAAATGCATAATATAATGCGCAATAGGGACTTCATTTCGTGTGATGAAGCATAAAGTGAGGTGTTTATGATCTCTCAGGGGTGACATTAACCTATACACAAACAATTAGACTGGTTAGGAGTTTATTAACAGATGCTAGACAAGATATATGATGAGCCAGGGGTAATGTTATGTGGTAATTGTAGTTACCATGGGGTATAAGGGGAAAGGCAATAATTAAAACGATCTTCTCATCAACTAAAAAACATTCCCGTAGCTTTTTTATCAATGTTATCCACAGTCAGTAAATCAAAGAGGGACAGGATATCTGAACAGTGAAACTCAAAGGGAATCGTTGTTTTCATGCTCTAGTCTAGGCAATGTGACAATATTTACTTTTTTATAATATTAGACAATACTTTTAGATTCAAACCTTTAAAACTGAATGGTCCATTCTATGTATAAGGAGTAAGGCTTTGACTTTCTTCTCTGTAGTCTCTTGTGGTCTTAGTATTTCATGTTGTCTTTTTTTAACTGATCCCTCTAGTGGTTAAAGTATGTTTTTGCATGAGAGTGATCCTTGACACAGCTGCGTGGAATCGTTTAAGACGGCAAAATAATTGTTAAATATCACAACAAAATAATTTCAATAATATTAATCGAAACTCGAACTGGCTTGACGCAAAGTCAAATTGTTGGGATTGTAAAGCTATCACAAATGAGCTCCGTAATACTCTCCAGTTCACACAGGAACATATGACTCAGTCCATCACAATGTTATCAGAACTCAACAGATTGGAGGGTTTCTTAGTCTAAATGCAGTTACTTCATTTAATTGAACAGCCAGGATACAGAGTGGAGTGTATGAGGAGCGGAACAGGGACAGAAGGACAGAGATGGAAAGCAGAATAAACAGAGAGAAAAGGACAGATTTCCCCTCGTTCATCATTGAATGAAAGGATGATTTAAAAGTCATCACTCACAGAGGGATAGAGGCGAGGGAGTGTGGGAGGGGGAGAGAGGGAGAGAGGGAGACATATTGAAAGAGAGCGAGGAGAGTAAAAGAAACAGAGGAGGATGAGGCAGAGAGAGAAAGAGAGAAACAGTGAGAGGGAGACTAGGGTAAAAGAGAGACTTCTAATTATGCTGACTACCAGACCGAAACTGACAGTCCTTATACACACACACACACACACACACACACACACACACACACACACACACACACACACACACACACACATCTCATTGACTATCGTACAACTTATGCCTCTAAGGTAATCTAAATTATTAAGTCGACTAAAGTGACTGATGTCATAAGGTGAGGTGTTTATTTTGGTCATTGTTTGGAAATTCGTGGAAACCCCGATAGCCCGTACACACAATTATAAAATTTTAGTAATCCCACCTCATGTGGGAATTCGTTCCGGAAAGGGGGAGTTATCTGGAATTTACTTTACCATACCGTTTGGGTCATTTTTAAACACAACCCGGCCCCAATCGAGGCGTACACTTAATATCACGTGTTGATTACTCCTTGTCCCAAAACGACTGCGTACCGTGGATAAGGGTCGTTTGGCGACAGGAGTAATCATTTAGTGCACGTTATAATGTGTTACCTCGTTTGGCCAGTTGGTGTTTAGAAATGACAACGGTAATCGTAAAGTTAAATTCAGAACGTCCCCCTTTCCGGACGCATTCCACTATGGAGGTGGGATTACAAATTTTATAATTTGTGTGTACGGCTATCTGGGTTTCCATGAAACTTTTCAAAATGACCGGAAATAACCACCTCCCGTTGTAGACATCAGGTAGCATTTAGTCGAACTTTAATAATTTGATTTTACTTTTGCCATTAGTTTGGTACGGTGTCATTGGATTAGAAATCGGTTTATAACGATGTAAACAACGAGTAGGGGATCGTACCCACACAAAATTCATGGACTAGTATATAACTATATGTAATGTACATATGTATACAACGGTATACCCATAACTATCTTTTATAACCCAGATTAATCTGTTGGAATTAACTGGAAGACAACCGTACTGCGAGGAAGGAAAAGTGGTCCAAATTCTTTGGTATATCAGGTGAATTTTGTAACCACTGTAAACTGATGGAAACTTGCTTATTCCATAACACGCACCCCTTGTTGACATTCTTTACCGTCGTTCAGTCACCTAAACACCTATTCCCAATTTATCTTCCGGGTCCCCCTGTATTACCAAGGAAAGTAAATACCACACACTGCACAGACAAACAACAAACGCCATTTCGGAACAGAAAGACACTGTGACACGAACANAGCCATAAGAAATGAATGCAGCTGATTATTTAATGTTTAAAGTTGTTTTTATAGGCAATAATTTAAGCTTTGTTAGTTCCAGGTTTAATATGTGCAATAAGTTCATTTCAATAAGTTTTACAATAAACATTGAACCAGTCCGGCTCTCGACTAGTACCGATTTTTTTATTTTGGCCCACTGTGTATTTGAGTTTGACACCCCTGCACTAGAGTAAGGACAAGCATACAGTGCACTTTGCTGTGAGTGTTGTTTTCATTATTGATTAAAGGGTCATTTTACCGATTACTTTCTCACACTAAAAAAAGCTCTCTTCAGAGCCACAGAATAAGTGGTGACCCTTTAATCAACTGGTTGTTTTTCTAATTAGTTTTATTATAGTATTAGTTGTAAGCATTTCATCTGAGAAGCCATAAACAATGCAAATTGTCTATCCTAAATTGGCAGAGCCCAAAAAGAAGACATTTTGTATTTATATTAATTTAATGTGCAAGTCATTTCCCTGAAGGTTTTAGTAAACACGTTTGATCTGAGTTTTCACCGACTGATTTTTTTTGTTTGCTTTCTGCTACAGGAAAACTAATTCGACCAACAACCACAAAGACAAGAATCTCCGCCAGAGGAATACAAACTGAGCAGCCTGTCTGCTGAGTAAGTATTAAATTATTAAAAGCCTAGTGGTTAATATGTATTACAAGCCTGTGGTCACAAGTTACAAGATGATCCACCGTATGATTGTATCAATGAAGGCTCTTGTTAACCACGGCAGACTGGGCTAATCGTTTTATTTTCTCATTATTTGCAGGTTTCATTTCACAAATGTATTGACCATATGAAAGTAAACAAGAAGGGTATCCATACCAGTTGTTAATAAGATGTATCTGCCATTACAAGTATGGAGAGTTCAATGAGGCATGCCTTATGATTTTATTGTGTGAGGATGCGAAAATTGAATTGTTAACAATATAACCATTGTTGCTGCATGCAGTTGTTGACGTTTATGATTTGTTTCCCCCTCCTATCCACACATTTTACATTTTGAATACTTCTAAAATAATGCATGCAAGATGTTGACCTTCTGTTTGACACAGAAATGGCTTCTTTTTTTCTTTCTCTTTTCTCTGAGAGTGGCTTCATTTAGATGATCTGTACTGTGTGTTGTAGAGGAAAACAAAACTTGGCAATGTAAAAGAAAATGCCACCATATTCTGGTATGACAGTTATGTACAGTTTTATCATTCCACTGCATACCGTTTTACCTGAAGATATCTATTGCGTTTTAAGGGCTTCGCAATGTCCCTCTAAATGTTATTAAGAGTTACTTTACTGTATGTATTAAATCACTAACTATGTATCAAAATACCATTTAATATATAAAGACTCTTCATATGATATGATGCACTTAAATGTTGAGGATAATGAAAAACTGTATAAACAACCTTTAGGAAATCTGTACTAATCATCCTAACATTGTTTTATAATTATGTGTATTGTACAGCATGGCTATTATCCTATGCAATTATTATCCATATCGATACCTATTGAAAAATCATTGCCGCTTTTGATTTCTCTGTGATAAAGCTTTAAACTAGTAGGATCACCTTAGAGCGCTGAAGGCAATCCGCACAGCAGCATGAATTCTTTACAGCTGACGTGGGAGGAGGCGGAGAAAGAAACATGCGTCAGAACCGACACGTGAAAAATCCCAAGGTCCCCAACTCATTTTTAAGAATAAATATCTCAAAAAATAAAGTGTGTCTGTTGAATCACTTTCTTTTAAAAACACATTTAGATTCAGATTCAAAATACTTCATTGTCCATTAAATGTATATATAATGGACATGTGTCAGTGCAAAAGTAGTAATGATTCGCACAGGCCGTCCTATAGAGATGCAGAAATATTAAAGCATTTTGAGAGCAGCACCATCGTGTGGGGTTTTAAATGACTGAGCAATCATGTGTCATCAATACCAGAAACAAGGACAAACAAACCGTGATTAAGAAATACTCACTTGTCTAATGCCAAACACGGTTAAAGACTTGAACATTCTGTCAACAATACATACTTCATATGTCGGTTTATTCTTCTTTTTCTGTTGTATTTTAGGCAGCATGACAAAGATGAAAACAGACTTTGGAACGGGCTCATTTACTGTTGTTTTTATTTATTTATCAAAAGACAAAATGCTGTGAAACCAGCCAAATAAATTCCAAAGTAACACTATTTTAAAGCACATAAGCTTTGTTGGTCTGCCTACCACATTTCCTTTCATGTGGTTTTGATATAAACTCTAGATTAGATGATAATTATGGAAAATATGCCTAAGCGAGCACCTGAAGTCGTCTATCTGATGAGGATTAGGGAGAGAAGAGGAACATCATATCAGTCCGTTCTTTTCTTCATACGGAGCCCAATTTATTGATGGCTAAATGGTTCATTTTTTATAGGCAATTCAGAATGTGTTTAAATCTTGGTACTAACATATTGGGACTTACTGATTGTCTACAGTGTTTATTTGTATGGCTTTACAAAGTCTCAAACACTGCATGTAAAACAGTTAATGAGTACATTTTGAGATAATGCTTGCAAATGTAAAGGTCCTGGCATAAATCATACCTTTGACCTGTATAAAAGTATGCTTATGGCATTTGTGAATAGCATTAAGAGGTGCAAAGAATGCCGAGTACCCTCCTAAATAAAATCATAGGTGTGGTCGGAAAAAAATGACTTGCATCTGGCTATAGTTTAAGTCATTCCTACCTAACATTATGAGAACTTGAGTGTTTTTTTCTCCTGTGTTTGTCATGAATTGTTGTGGGCATGATGTTCAACACATTTAGTGTGAAGTGCAGCAGCCCAGCAGAAGGGGGCGCTGGTGGATCATGGCTGCTGCCTCCTGGTAGCACAGTTGGTCACAGGGCTGATTGTTAAGCTTTCTGCAGATTTTCTATTACCAGCTGGAGAGTAAACATTTTTATGTGTTTCAAAAGTATTTTAATTGTCTTGACCTGATTCCCAGGATGTAACCGTGTCCTGGATTATTATGTCAGTGGGATCAGACCGTAATATAAAGAATTGTACATCTGCAGAGGGACATCTGTGAATTTCTGAACCATAAAAAAAAAAAAACACGGAACCAAAACCTTTGACAAAAACTGATTTGTAGTTTTGTCTGTGTGTGTTGACGTATCATTCAAGTAAAGAGATGTTAGGTAAAAAAAAGTCTTACGGATTTGTTCCTAAACATTGGTAGATTTAAAGTTTGGTGGCTTTGTGTATCGTTTTCTTTTTAATTCACACAGTAGCCTTTCTTTTAGACTTGCTATACTACTTGCGTTCTCTAAGAAACGTCAAAAATCATCCCTCTAGACACGATTTAGATCATAAAACATTGGAACAGAAACATAATCTGCTTTGAATTGCATTTTCTATATGATATGGGTCCCCCCACATTGTTCTCTCTGTTCATAATGTGTTGGGCACAACATGTATCTCAGTGTGCACTGGAGGCTAATAATCTGATGTTGACGGATCACATCTTTGCGACCTGCTACACAACATTGTGAGGACTACTGGTTCACCAACCAGGCGCAGCGACTCATTACAGTAGGTGTTTGTTTCCCATTTGAATTGTATGTAAATATTTAGCGAATGTGTGTGTCAAAGGGGCCCTATTATGCTCATTTTCAGGTTTCTTATCTGTATTTTGTGCCCCTACTGACATGTCTCCATGCTATAATTTCATGAAGGTCTTTTCTCATACTGCCTGTGATGCAGCTCCTCTTTTCCCCCTCTGTCTAAAACCAGAGCCCAGTCTGATTCGGTTCAAACGCAATACAAAATACACCCTCCAAAATGACTCAAAACTATTTAAACAAAAACGGAACGTGGGAATTGTGATTCACTGCATTGCTTTTAGCTAGCAGTAGGCTACATAAACTGGCTACTGAGTGCAAATCAGCCATGTGATATTGAGATGACCTCCCCCACGTGGTGATAATCGTGCCTGCAAACATTATGGAAGGTGATGAATGCAGTCTACTAAATACAGCATCAAGTGTGAACTTCTAATATGGGAAGTTTGAGATCAGGAGACTGCAATCTTACAGTGCTGAGGCCGAGGCACACTTGAGTTTGGTTTTGCTGAAAGATAACTGGAAAGAAGAGGAAGAAAACAGTACCGCCTGCAGACAGTAACATGCACTTTGTTGATAAAGAAATATCCATTCCTGCCATTTACATGTTATGAAACCACTGATGTGAAAAAAAATGATGGGAAAGTAGCAGAGTCTTGACATCTTATATTAAAGTATATCATTTAATATTTTAATCTGTATTTTATCTTCTTATATTCATAAATGTGCTTTCAAAAACCTTTTACCAGATTAATTTCCCATGTTGGACTTTGCTTTCAGAAAGCAAATCAGAAAATCTCATCCATTTTTGTATGATTAAAAATGTCTTCTTCAGAGAGTAAAACTGCAGCAAACAGAGTAAATGCTTCTTAGTTATAACCAAACACCACCTCAAGGTTGAAAGGAATTCCACCGACACTAGTCGTCCAAAGGCACTCCACTTACATTATAGTGTCCGGCGTTAAGCGCATTACGTTGTACACACACTACAACTTCCAACTAAACGGTTGGGCTCGTCCGGGATTTGAACCCGGGACCTCTCGCACCCTAAGCGAGAATCATACCCCTAGACCAACGAACCGCACAAGCGATGTTTGTCAACTCAGATATTTTCTTTTGGCACTTGCGAGCTGTTGCTTTTAAAACCACTTTGTTTTACTTACATGATACCTCTTAATGTATTTATATCATCATTTTGTTATGACGCCTCTAATGTAAAGTCATACATAAATGCACCTTAAGAATGAGGACAAAAACACTATCACTGCTCTCTAACAGTGGCTATTACATGACCACGTGTCTCAAAAGCGGAAAACAACTCTTATAATCCATTCTGTATGATTTAATCAATTTTACAGGTAGGCTATATCTAAAACGGCTCAGTTCATTTGGCTGGTAGAAATGATTTATTCCGTTTGCAGGGCAAACATAGACAAACATTTCTGACCATGCATAAAGACTTGACTTTATTCCTTTGACCTCCCATGGTTTTCTCTCAACTATTGAACAAGCTTTAAACTCCCAGGCTGGACTCTCGAGTCCTGCTCTCAGCTGTCCTGGCTGGGCGGGGTGAGCACCAGTGCCATCCTGATTGATTAGCCCCATCAATATTCACGTTATTAGAAAGCGCTGATGGATCATGGATCAGCGCTGTTTGGATGCCGGTGCTTGCTGCGTGCATGTGTGCATGCGTGTCACCACCTTCCACTGACAGAGAGCTCAGATATTTTGGGGAGGTGGAGATCATGCTTTGTCATTGAGCAGCTCAGCACTGTGGCACGTCCGACGCTCAGCATGCTGCATCCTGATGCGCGCTCAACTGCACGCTGTGGGGCTACCTGGATTTACACGCATTTCCCGTTCACCGCTTTTGCATGACCGTCGGATTGAAGGGAGCCAGGTATTGTTGACGCATCTCAATGTTTGAACCGGGGGAGAGAGGCACGTCCCAAGTGTCAAATGAGATACAACCTGTCCTACAGATGCGCCGTCACTGTTTTGCCTCCAGTGGCACCCCAAGTGAATGAGATTCATGATTAATTCCTCTGTTTTCACGGGCTATCCTTGAGCACAGCTCCTCTTCTTGTTCAAAATGGAAAGATTTCAGTCTAACATGCGCAAACGGTTGTACAGCCTGCCGCAAAACATTGGGCAAAAACCCTTCGTGATTGACGAAGGAGACAACGGCGACAAGGACACTAAGAGGAAAAGTATTCGGCTAAAACATTTGCCCTCCCCGTCTCCTGCAAGCAGTTGCAAGAGCATTGAGGAGGCCAGGAGCGAAGACTTGGGAAGGGACGTTACTGTGAAGACTAACTTGAACGGGGACTGTCGCTTATTCCGGGGCAGCATCTCCTCCATCACCGGGCGGCATCCTCCCGGGTCAGATCCCGCGGAGCAGCGGCGCCTCATCCCGGGAACCAGCGAGAGTTTCCCCGGTGAGCTGAGCCCCGGGGCCCAGCAGCGGGCAGCGGGGGGTCTGAGTGCCACTGCCGGGCAAGAATCAACGTTTGACCAGTCAAGTTTCATCAAGTTAGAAGGAACCGATCAAATCATACCTGAGGATGACCGGCTGTACCAAGCCGGCTTCATGCACCGGCAGTTTGGGGCGATGCTCCAACCAGGAGTCAACAAGTTCTCCCTGCGGATGTTGGGGAGTGAGAGGGCCGTGGAGCACGAGAGGGAGCGAGTGAAGTCTGCTGGCTTCTGGATAATCCACCCGTACAGTGATTTTAGGTAATTTGTATGCAGAAAACCTTTCTTCTGTTCTTTCAAAACAGTGGTGTCTTTACAAAAAAGTGCAGCAGTGATCCTGTCACATAGTTGTTTGGCATATAAATGTAAACATTATATTAGAATAGCATAATCTTGATTTAAAATGCCGTCAAAGTCACTGTAAACTTAATAGACACACTAATCCCCCATGTGCCAAGTGTTTTTTCTTTAATCACTGTGATGATGTTATGATAACATGATAATCAGGAGTGTGAGCCTGTGCAGAATAGAGGCATTAAAACGGAATGTGCCGCTGTAATCCTTACACATTGAAAAGATAAATGGCTTCATTTCTGAAAATGATCCTTTCTTAACACTCAGACTGTACAGGCCATTTTTAC